ACGCTAATTATGAGACACTGCATAATAGTGGGTGACATTTCTCATATTTGTTAGCTTTTTGTACTACAACAGAAGGCCAAAATATTATCTTATCCTTGCAAATGCAGTTTCTTAGAAGAAGGAGAAGAAAAAGAAGAAGAAACATCTGTTTGTGATGGATCTCACTGATTGCCTTATAGAGATGGACGGCATGGAAATATGCAATACATTGTAAATAATGTATCTCTACACTTGATATAAAACAGAGTATCACCTGCATCCAAGTACTTGGAGAGGCTGCCCTCTAATGTGGGGACAGGCAGAGCAGGCAGACTGTTTTGGTACTGGAAAGTCCTCTCATGCTGTGGCTCCGGCATTTTTTTATATTTTTTTATTCTACCTGCAAAACATACATATGCACACGTATGCACACATACACTTTGGGTCAGTGATTCACACTGGAAAACATGAAGTAAATAGAAAGAGAGAAAAAAAGATGGACAGGTGAATAGAAAGGATGTTTTAACAAGACGGATGGCTTGAGTCTAGATGGATGTCCAATAAATGATGGAGGGCTGGGATAGAGGGATAGTTAAATGAACAGAGACTGGGGGAGAAACAGACTAGATTGTTGGAGAGAGAGAGAGAGAGAGAGAGAGAGAGAGAGAGAGAGAGAGAGAGAGAGAGAGATGGATAGAATAGAGATATGAAAGGCAGACAGCCAAGTAGGTAGTTAAACATCTACATACTCGTCCAATGTGACTCCATCATCCCCCGTTTTAATATTTAAAACGTTTATAATATTTTATAATCACTCGCCAATTAAAAAAAACAGACATCGAAATTAAAAGTGGATTTGCATTATACACAAAGTGCAGTAGGTGAAGTCTAACTCGTCGAGCTAGCTGACTGTTTGAGTTGGATTTGATTCGTTGACATGATTTGCATGTCTATCTCCCATGATGCGTCGTATGCAAAATGTAAAGTACAACTCACCTCCAAGATATATGTCGACAGGGTTCCCGTAAAACAGAACTAAAACTTCGGTCGTGCGTTTGGATTAGTGTTCGCTGTTCAGGATTCCCGCTGTTCACCTTTAACCGAATGCCCCTGAAGCAGCCCGGAAGAGATCAGGGCGCATGCGCACCACAGTGGCATTTGCCCTAGATTTTACAAAGCGGAGAGTTGATTTGAGTGCAACCAATATACACGAGGGCAATGCTATGTGTGACAAAGTCAAACAAACAATTAATTCGTTACTAGTCGTGTTTCGGGATTAAAAGTGAAGACATATTCAGAACTATTACCTTTTTTTCCATAAAAGAAAAGTCTATTTTGCAATTCTTTCAGCTCAACAAAATGTAAAAAGCATGACGAGGACTGTTTTAGCACATGCTCTAATTGAACCAAGACATTTATTGGCCAATTCAAGGATCAAACGCCTTTTGTAAATTTTGCCATTAAGCTCCTCCTTAGAGGACAGCAACTTGTGCAAAAACTACTTAAAACATTTAACACATATATGCATTCAAAATATTAGAGAAAGTAACATTAAGTTCACCTGCGAAGGTTTGAATGCATTTAAGGCTCAAATATTTTTTTATCATGAACCAAAGCATACCACATCAGGGGTCAAAATCATGCATATTACAAATTCAACTAATAATGACCACAAATCCAATGAGTAAAACAGTGCATAAGTTTTATTTTCAAAGCATCCACATTAACATTATTTTCAGTCTTTCATTTCTAATAGGGATTAAGTTTGATTAAATTAATCGTTGAATTTTTTGCACATGAGCAAGTTAACATTCACTAATAAGCAAACATGGAGTACTAACTGCCATATGCTACATCTTCACATTAAAGAAATGTAAATGGAGAGAAGCTATTCAAAAAAGAAACGTTAAAAAAATGCTTCATTATAATTTGTTGTACTTCATGATAGCAGCCTCACTTTAGTCCTTTATTGAGTATAGCATTTTAGTACAGTATCCCCTTCTATTAACCCAGTTTGCTGATGAGTTCCTTTGCAAGTGCGATGTAGGCAGACATGGCTTCATCCTTGGACATTCCTGGGCAAACACGGGAAAACGAATGACAGGTTAAAAAAACAAAATTGTTGTATTTCAGCTCAAACATTTTGATTTCTACCTTTCCTGGAGTTCCATGCATCCCACTTGGCTTTGCCCTTCATGTCGAACAACCCCGGCCTTTCTGGAAAACGTGAAATTGCATTTGTTAATTAAGAAATCCAAATGGTAGCCAAAACTTTTTTTCAGTGGGGTGGCCATAAGATGATATGTTCACTCGTGCGTACGTTACCTCATATCTCAGAGATTGTGAGATCAACCTTGGGTACAACGAGCACATGACCGAGAAGTCGTTGTTTATCACACCATCCACAGTGAGTCTTTCATGAAATAAAATGCGTTCATATTCAGAACCTTGCCCAACACACTCATTATACAAGCAGGAAAATGTCTACGCAAAAAGCAAAGTTTTGCTGATCTTAATTTATCAGATAAAATCATTTTCTTTGCTCTTATAGTCAATAGCTGATGCACTGATTTGCTAGCTACCATCCAAATAAGAGTGATCAATTATCTCCTATGGCCAATGCCATTTTGCATATTGCGATCAATGGTTCATTCATTCTCATCATTCCTGAGAGGGAACATGGCAAAGCAATCCCCTAATCCTTCACAATTTTAAAGATTGCGTTTTACGTCGTTTTTTTTTTCCCTCCTCGTATTATGAGTGTGTTGGGAAAATTAGTATGGATGGGTATGATAAATGTTGATTGTGCGCTAAAGTAAAAAAAAGGAACAATCTTGAATATTGTTCGCTACGAGTATAAGTTACGAACGATTCTTTTATCTTTGATCTGTACACTCAAAACTTATTTAGATCTATCTGCACCACAGAAACATTTTCATCAAAATCTTCCCCTAGATGTGCGGGTGGCTAGTCGGGTGACCGGAGACCAGCTATCAACACATAGCTCCACCCCTGAAGAAAGAATAAATTACAGACTTGTCATACCCGTGTTGATATCTCCGACAACTGCCTGTTTGTACAGGCCGTAGAGGTCAAGCAACTCCTGGTCCGACGGCCTTGTCTTCAAGTTCTTCACATCTTCCGCCGCCTTCTCAAACTCTGCCTGCAGGTGATAACAGAGAGACAAGGCTATTGATTATTAACTGGTAACAACTACGGTGAAGTAATGGGCACATTTTGTCTCGAATGTGAACTTGGTAACCTATTAGAACAACACAAGAGGCTAAACAATAGGCTTTTATTCAAGACTGGTGCTTTTGTTCCTACTTCTACTTCACAAAGGAATTAGGACACTGCAGGACGGATAAATACAAACGTCTAAATACAAACGTCTAAAGCTGAGTTTCCCAAACTTTTGCAGCTCCAAGTAGAAATTTGCTCAAGGGTGGGATAAAATAGGGTATAAAATTACAATTGAGCTTATTTAAACAGTTTAGAGTACAACTGCCTCCCACTCAGAGTACAAGAGCCCCCCCCCCCCACTTCTTCTTCTTCTTCTCCTTTCGGCACGTCCCTTTCCAGGGGTCGCCACAGCGAGTCATTAATTCCCATCCGTCCCTGCAAACCGCCCTATCAACTCGCATGTCCGTCTTGGCAAAAGTTTTACGCCGGATGCCCTTCCTGACGCAACCCTCCCCATTTCTCCGGGCTTGGGACCGGCACCGGGGAACAGTGTACCCCCAGGGGAGGGCACTTCTCCCCAGCGGCTGGGTTCCCCCCCCACTCTCATCAGTTTAAAATGTGGGTGGCTAATTTATGTTCTCATTAAATGAAAGTTTATTTTCATTATTTGGAGTAAAAATCAACTTTGAGTAAAATGTACTCTTGATATTTCTATCTCTTCCAAGTGTAAATGTTACTTTGTTGAGACTTGGACAAAATCTAGTCTTTTTGAGAGTATAATTTTCCTCGATTGGAGTAAAATGTCCTCTACGAGGTTGACTGTGTATCTCCCTCTGTTTTTGCTACCAGTCCAAATCTGCCTTTGCATGGTATTTGTTGAACAAAAAAATCGTTCATTTAAAAAAATCTATGCGTAATTTTGGCTCACCGTCTACTGCTGTACATTACACATGAACTGATGAATCCAAAATCCCCTAGATGATAAATAAGAAACGACCCTTTGAAGCCCCTACCACAAGCTTGGGAACATCTATTCTATTCTCACCGCATAATAAGGGTTGTTTCTCCAACCTTGTACCATAGATGTTGGTCGGAGTGGACGAGTGAAAGATAAACAGTGGAATCGATGTAGCATCAGGTAATACGCGGTATGCTCTTAAAACGTAAAGAAAAATGTAATACAGTACAGCATGTCAGTGAAGATAGACAGCGCGCGATCGCGCGTGCAAAGTCAACATGGATGATGAAAGCGATGATGAAAGAACAAGAAGTTGAAATTTCATTTTACCACAGAAGCCATTTTGGATGACAGTATCGCCGACACTCCGATGTGCTTCTTTTAAATGTTCGATTCGGTCGTTTGGGTGAAGGTGCAAAAACAACGGTTCGATGGTCGAATGTCGCTCCGGCAAGGCCTGAAGGAGCGGGCGGGACTAGAAACTAGTTGGTGGCCTGACGTGTGCGCATGCTCAAACCAGAGAACGGTTTCCTTGCACATGTCATGTCTGGGTCAAAAGTCTTTACCGAACACGCTATATTCTGGGGTCAAGGAATAGAGCTCTTGTGTGTGCGTGTGTGTTTTAAAACTACATCAGGATGTTTCCCCCCCAAAAAAATGTAACAGTGAATATAATGGAAGCATAAATAGTACCCATTGTCGAAGTGGGTTTCAAAACTACCTGACGTATTCATGCGGGTGCACAAAATAAAACTCCTACTTGCAAAAGAGCTAATCTTTTTAGAAACTGCAGGTAATTAATTGTATTCTTTTATTTCAACAAGTCCTTGCAAATAACGTATGGTCCCTTTAACAAACGTAGCCACTGTTTACTACATTTTAAATAAAGCTTTGACAAAATTCAAACAAGATGGCGGCGCCCGGTAGCTAACGCGTGTGTTTTGAAAGGAAGAAGTTGTCATTCACCGTGATTTAAATTGGAAATATAAGAAGAGTTTACAACACATGCTGTGGAGACATTCAGGTAAATTCTGTTTCCAAAATTTTTTTTGTCAGTTTTGTTGGGTTTTTGGTTGTTAATTCAACGGTTACAGACGGTACGACAGATCACTTGATGTCCATGTACAGGTTGAGCCAAGAGTAGGTGGCATGGTACTTAAAAAAACACCTCTCTTATTACATTTCTGGCATCTTTCATAGAATCTCCCATCACAACAGATTATTGTTTATGCAACCTTGCATCCTTCTTACATTCCCTCTTTAATTTCTTGATTTCCACAAACCTTCCTGCCTTCCTCCACCCCCCTTTTTATTTCTCATTCTTCCTTTTTTATTGTTTTTGTTTTCCTTCCCTTGCTACCTGTACTGTATTGATTTAGAATGCACACTTTTTGTAGAATGCACTTTTCTCCCGTGGCAAATTATTTGCCATTTACTGTACATAATTAAAGTGTGTACTTACTTTTGGCCCACCCTGTACATTACTCATCTTTTTGCATTTGCTCAGTTTTCGCTTAATTGATCATTTTACATATTTTATGAAGCGCCATCATACCAAGCAGATGAAATGTGGCTGTAATTCTTCTTTTCATTATTTTTATTAATTCCAGTTAATTAAATGGAAACACCGCAGAAAAGCAGCGGCAAAAAGGCCGGCAAAAAGCCCATCAGGGTCAAGACGATGTTCACATCCCCTTTTGCGCTGAACTGGAGCCCTCTTCCACAAAAAGACATGCATTTTATCCTGACAACCTTGAAAGACAAACTCATTTCCATGGGGCTTGAGAAGAAGGAAGTGAAGGTGTTTCGGCCGTGGAGGAAAAAACAGAGAGGTCCGGATTTCTCATCTATGGATACGGACACAAATAAGGTGGAGGATTCGTCGAAAGGTGGCTGGACAGATGTGGCCGCGAGACGACAACTCGCCCTGGGCATCAACGAGGTCACCAAAGGTCTGGAGAGGAACCAACTTAAGCTGGTTCTGGTGTGCAAGTCGATCAAGCCCAAGCACATGACCAACCACCTGATAGAGTTGAGCGCCAGTAGAGGCGTCCCCGCCTGCCAAGTTCCGCGTTTGAGCGAAAGCATGGCCACACTGCTAGGCCTGAAGAGTGTCCTCGCTCTGGGGTTCAGGCACAGCTGCTGCCAAGGTGACAACAATGACAAGGCAGAGGCGTTCACTGACACTGTGGATGCAATCATACCCAGGATGCCCTCTGTGGATGTTGCTTGGCTACAAGGTACAGCACCTGGTGTGGAATTGCAACACAGTGGTGATGCTAAAGAGGAGGAAGGTGGACAGAGGGCGGGCCAGAAAAGAAAACTGGAGCCGGAGAGTGAACACTGCACGCTGCAACCTCTCAAAGTAACAAAAATTGTTTCCAACCCAGCCAAGATAAAAAGAAAGCGGAATCGGAAGCAAGCCAAGTGAAATTAAGTTCCCTTAAATTTTGTCCTCCTCGTTATTTGGAGTTTGTTGTTTGTGCCTGGAGACCTATTAGGTTCATTTATTACTACTCACAAAAAGTTAGGGATATTGGGCTTTGGGTTGGAATTTTACGATGAACCTAAAATGCACTCTAAGCTTTTGATCTATGAATCAACCAATACATTTTCTTCTTCAATTAGAAATGTTTAATGGTCCTCTTCATCATTCTGCCCATGCACCGAACAATTGACTAACACCAGCTCACCATTGAAAGCAAGTTTCAACAGAGATACAAAGAAACTGGAGCAGTCATAGAAAAGCATACTGGTGGATGCACTTGAAAATAATGTACAAAAAGGTGTGCATTGGTTCATTACATTAGAAAAGGTCAAATAAAGTTCACCTTTTGCATTCTAGTCCTGAAATTCACCCGAAAGCACCAATATCCCCATTTGTGAGTAATGTAGAGTATTTACTTTTTTTTTTTTTTTTTTTAACTGAACGTCTCTGATCTTTTTTTTTCCACGCCATGGTTAATTGAAAGATGCTTTAAAGTTCCACTATTCCAATTCAGCAAGCATCCAAGGCTTAACTCTTGGCATTTTGTTTCTTCAGAAGGCATTAAAAAAATTAAAAAAAACATACACTGAAAGTTACATGACTCCAGAATTACCGTACCAGTCATCACATATTGTAAAGATGAATGTATTTTGTTTTGTAATAGTTATGTCTCCAAAGAAAGGATTATAGAACATGAGAAAAGTGCTTTTCAATAAATGGCATAACTGACTTCTTTTTATACTCTTATGTGACTTAAAACATGGCGTTGATGTTTGAACATCATCATCATCATGTAAAAAATTGAATAAATTGGCCAATTTCAAATAAGCTAATATCATCCGATGAATCAATCGGGCTGTAATAGTTTCTAAAACCAAACAAAACAGAATTGACAAGCATCCCAGAATAGATTGTGTGTGACTAGAGATGTTCCTCGAAGTGCCCTAAAATTGAATGACTCTGGCTATTAATCTCCAAATTGGACAAGCAGCAGCAATGCATTTTACATGGCATTAGTCGTCAGGTAACAACACAACTTTTCCCTAAAAGGCAAAAGATGGGGAAAAATAGGTCAATCAGCCTTGTTGATTTTGTTATGTGAATTTATTCAAATATCCATGCTGGCATAGGCGGCATTTGTTGAAACAGATTAATTGCATGGCGTCATGTGGTCTACAATGATGCTGGTACAAGTTCTGTCAGCCTTTTCACAGCTTATAATGGATTTGAATTTAAAAAATTGTTCTTCAGTTTGATAAAGCTGTACGGATTGTTTACCCCATGATGTCAAACTCCTGGAAAAACTAACAAAATCTTCCAAATAAGGCAGGTTCACAGGGCCGAAGTTGTTACTAAAGGTAGTAAAACGATACTACAGTCACCGCAGCAACATTCACACGTTTTTGGAGACACAACCAGCGTCTGTCTGCGTTGAACAGAAGCTCAGCCGTCTTGGCGAATGCAACTCACTCAAGGTTTCAAACATATAAACGAAAGAAAGAAAAAGTTCTGACTAGCAGACTGCTTTCTTCATCTGTTGTAAAAGGGAGGAGAGGAAAAGCACGTAAAAAGAAGACAATGTAGAACATCTCAAATGTGACCATGGAACAACAGCGGAGGCTCACTTGAACATAAACAAGATCAACCAAATGATATCACACTTCTCTGGTTGCCTGTTTAGACTTTTACAGAAGGAAAACTGTCACAAATTCAATTATAAATTGAGCTTTTTCCATGCATTTAGCTACTCAACACCTAAAAAAAATACAGTAGATTTGTCTCAGACACAGTAGGAGTAGAAAGTGAATAAAATGTGCAGGGATGAAGACATCAAAAACGGTGAAAAAGCCCCAAAATAGCAAATATCGCCCCCCCCCCATCTAAATAATTCTCTCAAAAATGAATCATTGAACAGACAAGGTGATTAACAGGATATTTTTGCATACGAAATGACAAAAAAAAAATGCTTTCCAGCAGCTTATTCTCTGACTTAACTAAATGCTAATTTCTCCGCAAGACTCTATTGTCCCAAATACAACAGGAAGACAAGAGAATTTGCTGTTTTGTTGATGATTGGCCTCTCAACGCCTGCCGTCTGATCATTTGTCGTTTGTGTTGTTTTCATTGCCACCATGAGTCAACCCCGATTTGTGATTGAAAAGATGTAGGCGCAATGTGACGTTCACAATTTTCAATCAGGTGGAGGTTTTAATAAAGTTCTCTGAGAGCCATACTAAATTGTATGACATTATTGTACACTACGCACAAAAAGTTAGGATGAACTTAAAATGCACGATAACCTTTACCGGTGAACCTCATATGACCTATAAACTTTTAATGTACATGCCCAACTGTTAAACTGGTGAGTATTTTTTTGCACACCAAAGTGCTCAGTGGCAAAACTCACAAACGTTTTTTTTTTTTCATTTCCAAGGACAATCACATCTGTGCCTTTCTGTGACTCCTTCAGTCTCTCACCGTCTGTTGCACTCGATGGCATTCCAATCTCTGCGGCCACTTTCTGTTTGAAGCCTTGCAATGGCGAGGTAAGGGTCCTTTTTTTAAATACCAGTTCTGGCTGAACCAGGAAATGTAATGGTTTATTCATGAATCAAACACCCGTCGTGATCATGACCACTCAGCAAAACAAGTTATGCAAAAAGTACAGAAACAATGAACAGTGGGACATGGAAAATTTTCAACCCCAAAAATACCCATGGCTTTAAAGGCTATTTACTACATATTGTAACATGGTAGCAGCTCACTTTCACACTGAGAAGTACCACAGCATTTTTTTTTCCAAACATCGGCCACCTTGAGGACCTTTTTGAAACTGAAAAATTGTGCTTCATTGATGTAATACATTCTTCATTAAAAAAAAAAAAAAAAAAAAGTCCTAAACTGAGTACATGGCTTCATGCTGTACATGTAACTCAATGTTTCATATTGAGAAAAAAAAAAAAAAGTCAATGCACCAGTTGGTTTTATGACCGTGTGACAGTGTACAAGTCTGTATGTACCGAGAACAAAATAAATTGAAGTACCCAGCAGTGGAATGATATATATTGCATGAACAGCCCTCTATTGGTGAGATGCAGTAGTAGCGAGGGACAACTTAACTTCCAAAAAAAAAAAAAAGAGAGAGGAGTTGCCAACTAATGAAGTTGTCGGATTTCCATACTGTTTATGACGACAACGGCATGCCAGTGATATCTGTGCATGCCAAACTGGTTTGTTTCAAACGTGAGCGTACGTATCAGGCATAACATGACGTTCACATTCAAATTGTTGAGGATTTTTTTTTTTTTTTTTTTTTACGGTAATTGATTTTTACCTGCAAGTGAGCTGGAAAAAAAGCGCCAGTGGTGGAAAAAAAAATAAACATCTTCCCAGAATAAAGGTTGTTTTTCTCACCGTAGTCTGGCATGGGCGACCTTGTGTGTGCAGGTACGTAATTGCCAGACCTTGTGTCCTCATCGTGTATCAGTGTGTTTGTGTGTGTGTGTGTGTATATGTGTCTGTAGCAGCCTTCAAGGCACGGGGGCTACTGAAGGACCAGGCCAACCTGAAACAGAATTGCATTTTTTAAAAATTAGATACATGTTCTTGTTTCAAAGGTGGAAAGGTATAAAATACTGCTCACTGACCTTATCAGCGTCCATAGAGGGACATTTCCAGTTGTAGAGGTAATACTGCAGATTTCCATCTCCTATACCAAACTTGAGCTTTTCCAGAAAAACTTTATTCTCCATTAGATCCAAGGCATTGAACACATCAAAGCCTTTCTGTGGAAGAAATAATCATCAAAACTACTGTCAGTGTTAATTTTCATGAGCTTATTGAAAGCGCTGCAGACTTCTGGAGTTTAGGGGTACCTTTAGGCAACTCAAGTTACTTGGTATTAGCCAGGCAGGCATTAATTAATGCTCTTACTTGGTGAACTACTGGACGGTATCGCCGATGCCCAAGCACTGTGCCGTGGCACATTAATTTCACTCAACTGGTTTGAAAAGTATTGTTTATTCACTACAAATAATGTATCTTTATTCGTGTATCTATACCAGGGATGTGTCGTATACCTCATATATACTTTTTCTGACATTTCTATTGGGTGGTGTGCCGTGACTTCTTTTTTTAGTTTGTAAAATACACGTTTTAGTGCAATTAAGGTTGAGAACACTGCACTAGATCACCAAATACAAAGACGTCTAGGGTAAATTACCAGTTTGGCAAGGATCAGGGCGTCATTCATTAAGTCCAGTAGCGGCGTTTGTGTGTGAACATTGTAAAAGGAATATGCAGCCTTCAAGCTCCGATGCAGGGGGTGATGCATCACCGTGGAGGGTAGAGTGTAGAAACTAGCAAAGTCGGTCAAGACGCCACCAGCACCCTATGGGACACAAAAGCAGCTTCAAGATAGCAGACATGGTACAGTGCTGAGCACCGAAGGTTGTTAGAGCATTTATTCAATGTCATTCATATGCATCTTAAAGTGCAAATACTAATACGCTCTTTGTCCTCACATGCCTTTCATGGAATGCAGTTTGAACCGTTATTCAATATCCTACTAGAGCGTCGAATTCTGAATGAAAACTAGTGCGCGGTGAATAAAGGCTCAAAGGGCTTTATTGTAAGCTGTCTGAACATTTATTCGATGTCCTCAATATCCATCTTAAGTCCATGGACAAGTGCGCCCTTTGTCCTCCCGAGTCAGGCAACTTTGGCATACTAGTAGGACAACTACGTACATGTTATTAATGAGGGAAAACTGTGCGAGTCACGAGTATCATGTAGGAGTCCTACTTGTGAGGACAGTGACCATACAAGTACTTGGACCTTCAATAGAACATCAAGGATATTGAATAAATGCTGAAACACCTTGCCATAAAGCCAGTTGCGGATTATTCACAGCACAGTAGTTTTCATTTATAATTCAGCAGCAGCACACTGGTAGGCTATCAAATACATGTGAAAAGGCAGTGCACTGAATTGTCTTATTAGTGATTATGGTGCTAGTGAGGACAAAGAGTGAACTACTATAATGGTCCTAAAGTTGGATATTCAAGAACATCAAATACATCCATCCATCCATTTTCTAATCCGCCGATCCTCATAAGGGTCACAGGCGCCCGGAGTCTGTCCCAGCTGTCTTCGTCCAGGAAGCGGGGTACACCATAAACTGGTTACCAGCCAATCGTAGGGCACGCATAGACGAACAACCATTCGCACTCACAATCACATCTAGGGACAATTTAGAGTGTTCCATTAACCTGCCATGCATGTTTTCGGAATGTCGGGGGAAACTTGAGTACCCGGAGAAAACCCATACAGGCACGGGGAAAACATGCAAGGTCCACACAGGAAGGCCGGAGCCAGAATTGAACCCTACACCTCTGCACTGTGGGGCGGACATGGTAACCAATCGTCCACCATGCTGCCCACATCAAATACATTAGATGTAAAAAGTCTACACACCTGTGTTCAAATGCCAGTTTTTTGTGATATAAAAATGAGACCAAGATAAATCATTGAACTTTTTTTTTTGCACCGTTAATATGAATTATGACTCCATTGAAAACAAATATTTGAGAGGAGAAGTAATAATCAAAAAAATAACCAAGATCATGTGTTTGCATAAGTGTGCACACCTCCTTACAACCGGGGAAGAGGCTGTGCTCAAAATGAACCAATCACTTAGGAGCTCATGTTAAATGAGTCAGTGCACACCTGCCACAATTCAAAATGCCTCCCATTAACCCTGGAAACAAAATGTCACCTGTTCTAGTAGTCTTTGAACAGCAGTATGTAAACTTTTTATATCCACCACAAATGCCCAGAATGTTTTCCACAGATGAGCAGATCGCAGCTACCTCGATGACATATGTGTCTATGATGTTTTCCTGAGGAAGGAGCCAGTGAGCCACCTCCTCGTCGCTCATGGACGGCGCTAGCTGGAAGCGTCTCAAGAACCTCTGCAGCAGTTCGGTCACCTGCCGGATGTCGCGCCGCTCCATCGGCCGTAGCCCTGCTGTCTTGGTGCTCTGCGGCGGCGGAGACAATGAGCAGTTACATGAAGTGAACATTCTTTATAATAAGAGATGCTTGGTCTGAAAGTGGGCTGAGGGGAGCCTTTACATCTGGTAGTCTGTAGAGTTTCATGGTTCTTTGCAGCGTCATGTTTCTGCTCAGGTGAGAGAACTTAACTTCCACAAGCTTTCTGGGATTTAGAGAACGATGCCAATACCTGCAAGATAACACACAACAAGAGAAAATTTGTGTGTATTTCACTGGCTTCATAATCAAGTTCCTGTCAATCAACCAGTCTAACCTTCTCTATAATTTTGTCTCGTTTTGAAGCAGACGTCCGAGGGCATGAAAGTTTACCTGCATGTGGAAACTGGTTTAGGCAGCACGACGCCTGCTGTGTAAACCGCCTGAAATATTCCTTCCAGGTTGACCCGCCGCGTGATCTCTCTGATGAGCACCGGCGCCACACGCTTTGAACGCAGCTTCTTGTGGACACAGAGGAAGTTGATTTCCACCATCCTCTTCAACCTAGAGCAGCAAAAATGTCGTTTTTGAGTATTGGAGACTTCATCATTGTCCTGCTAAGTGCAAGAGAGATGCTCACTGGCCAGATGTTTTGGTAGAATAGACATTTCTAAACTAGTGTATGTTTCTTATAGGGCAAGTCTAAGGTGGTTGACTCTTTACTTTGATAAACTCTTGGACAGACATTAGCATCTGGTTACAAAAGATTCTCCATCCTGCACTATAAAGGCCTTTTCACACTGCACTTAGCAATGGTGACCAAGCCATTCATTATGTATGTGTTGTGAGGGTGTGATGATGGAATGTGGTCATTTGCCATGGCGGCAGTGCACCCTGATTTGAAAGATACTCAACTCGGGAGCCCCTGTCATGTCAGATGGCGCACCCAGTCGTAGAGAGGTTGGCGAAGAGATTTTTAGAGTGCTATTGCTAAAGACCAACAAGCAGGAAAATAATCCAAGCTGGTTCCTGGTTGGCTGCGAAACAACCACTTTCAACTATGGGCAAGCTCGCATTGGAGCAATATGTATGGTCATTTATGAATACTCACGTGTCATAAACACGGATGTCTGCAGGAATGGCACTGATGAAGCCGACGAGCTTCTTGTTTGAGGAGACTCTCACTCCGCAGTGCCACTGAGGTAACCAACCAGGCGGACGTAAAGCCCTGAGGAGGAAGAACACAATTCATATTATACTTCTTAGAGGAAGTTGCATCCAGAAACATCGTCATCTGAAGCAATACAACTTATCTAGTTAGTCAGGGGCTCAAAGCTTGTGGCTTGGTGTCTGGTTGAAATTCCCATGCTTGTATTTCAATGGGCAAGTAAATTAATATTTGTGATGCAAAGTCAGATATCTTGACGTGGGAAAAAGAAAAGACAGAAGAGGGTTGAGCGAGTGCTTTGTTATGCCTGCTGACATGAGGTTCTAATTTTGGCCCAGAATGACAGAAAGGGAACATCTGGATAGCCAAACGAAAGTATTTCAGCAGTTTGGTTGCAAAAAGAATGATGAGAGTAAAATGGATTGATGAATATTAATTCATTCATTATCATGACAAAGTCATTGCCATGTCCTATCATAACCTCATTTCTCCACTTATGATTTTGCCTTTTAATAATTACATTCTCTACACCATGTCCTGTGTGAAGACAAAAAAAGCAATGAAAACCTAAGTATGGATGAATGAATGTTTTACACAGATGATTGACATTGAAGGTGTATTTCCGGTAGGACTGATTTTAAGTGCAGGTCAAATCATCCACCCATCACATTTTTTTATAGTGCTTGTCCTTATCAGATTTGTGCCTTAGTTGGGACAATTTAGTCTTCTATGCCCCTAACATGAATGTTTTTGGAATGTGGGAGGAAGACTGAGTAACTGGAGAAAAGCCACACCTGAGGAAAATTGAGAAAAATGAGATTTAAGCCCCGTTCTGCCCAAGGTACAAAATAAGTGTAGCTAAATTTAACTATGAATTACATTTTTCTTTAGTGCACCTGAAAAACCAAGACCAAAATATGACAAACAACATTGACATAAGGTCAGCGCTTACCATTTGAGGAAGCTTGGCGAATAATCAAATCTGAACATGTTATCGTCATCCTCCACATAGTTCTCGTTTAACAACGTGTACAGTTCCTTCAGCTGAAAAACAAAGCACCAGCTTACGACATTATGACCTGTTACTAAGGCCATTTGTGCATTTGAGCTATGAGCTGTACTTACTACATCCGAATTGCTGAGATCTAGAGTGTCCCACATGAAGCCTTGAGGTAAGGAATAAGGCTCCTGTCGGATATTTTCTTTCTCAGCTTCGATCGGGCCGTGACTCGTCACCACCTCATCTGCACATACAGCACAACTCCTGTCAGATCTGTGACATCAATTACCACATGCCTACTATTGCAAAGTTTAGTTTTCCAATCTGAAGTACGACTGTCTTCTGCTGGTACACAGCGCCAGTGCATTTGTCTCGTCGCCGTGAAAACCAGATGCTCCAAATCATGCCGTGGGAGGTTGCTGCCAGGTCCACTTTGGAGCAAATTAGGGTTCAGTGTCTTGACACGTACACGCGGTTAGAAGGGTTGAGGATCAAACTCACAAACTTCCGGTTGGGAGCGGGCGACGACTACTCCACACTGAGCCATGCCACCCTGGCCGAATGAATGCAACAATTGCAGGTCTCTTGACGATGCAAATGTTCGATAGGCCGAAATAAAGAATGGAATTTTTCTGACATCACGTCGTGAAGGTTTGAGCTTCAATTTTTGACTGATGGTGCGCATGATTTCAAAAATATTGGTTGAACTCCAAATTGTACTACTTATGGGGTGCATGGCTTTGGGGGTTTCACTGTATTTCCCAAATAATGCCATTGAGCAAGTGCTGCTGTTGCTTTCTATTCAGTCCACCAGTCATGAATGTCCTGAGATTAATGTGAACTTACTTAACTTGGGCACCGGCTGTGTGTCCCAGAACTGATATTTGTGCTTGGCTGCCTCATCAATGCTCTTAGCTGGGCCTTGACAGGACAGCAGCTCCATAGCTCTTTGGATGTCCTGCAGCTTCTGGATCGGCAAGCCAGGATTCTGGAGAGTAACAATAGACACGGAGGGCTTTAAGAATGGGAGGTAAAACATAGGAGGAAGCTGGTACAGTACCTCAAAGCTTGTCAAATTTGGAGTTCAAACAAGATCACCTGGAAACATATGCCTGAGACATGTTAATGGGTGATATCAACACACTTCACTAAACATCTTTTGGGCCAAATTCATAGCATACATTACTTCTGTGAGTATTGAGCTTTCCTGGCAGAATGATGGTGGTCAGGATCAGAGAAGAAGAATGTGAGAAAAGAGTAAGAATATCCACAGAAACTAACAGTGAAATAAGTGGACCTTTCGAAAGCAGATTGAGGTTGTGTTCAAGTACTTTTGTCCAGCGAATGTGTCAGTGTCACGACAGTCATGTGGATGACTAAGCAAGTGCTATTAAGGTTTTATATTTTGGTAGGTTTCAATTTCCTGTTTTTCTCAACTCAGCCAGGGGCTGTTATTGACCAACATTTGGTGAGTAAAGGATTTTGTTGTTCTTCTGCGACTGGTGTGGTCTTTTTGAATCGATTTGTTTGAGCTGTTTCCCAATAAAGAGCACTTAGTAAAGATGCGTTGACTGCTCTAACATTTTTTTAGCTGCAACGTGCTTGTCACTTGTGATTAAAAAGTAATGTAACGTGTTATAATTAACATTTTGAATTACATTGGTGGTTAATGCATACATTCAATCTGTACATTTGATTACAGAGAACAAGGCTGTCTCAACTACGCTGTGAGATGAGTAGTTGTTGTTTCAGAGGATAAAGACTATATGCCTGTGAATAACTGCTATATGTTTCATCTCCCTGTATTCCTACCGCTTATCTTAAAGGGGAAGTCAAAAATTTTCTTGACGAGAGTGTGTTCTCTCTGTGAGGTATTAATTTTGAGTTCGTTATTCAATTCAGTTTGTCAGTCAGGTAGTTATCCATTCATTCCTTCACAGATTCAGAGAGAGAAAGTTCATATATAGTCAGTTTCACAGTTAGTTCAGTTGTCCATAGATAAGTAGAGAAGATTCAGTCATTCAGTTTACTTGCAATGTAGTCTGTACAGAGTGTTAGGATTAGTTAATTAAAACGTGCACTGTCGGAATTTGGAGAGAAGCAACATTACACGCTTTCATCTCAAATACAAACTGCAATACAGCTCACCGTGCAGCAGGGGTCCTTAAAGAGCTAAAATGAATAAAACCAAGGAATGAACAAACCATTGGCTGATATATGAGAGACAAAGTCTTACTGGTTCATGAGGCTTCACTTTGCCCAATCACTCGTCTAAACACGTCACCTGTATTCTGTGTTCGGTTATGTGACGTCCGTAAGTTGAGCTGTGATTGGTCGTTACCTGAGCCCTGAGCAACTGTGATGTCATTTTCAATCAACACCAAGTAGGAAAAAGGCTGTCCCTTGAGAGGGATAAAAAAAATGGGTGGATTTTGCGTCTTAATTCATATTCCACAAACACAATATGAATCAGCATACCACATTTAGATGAGTGATGCCATGTGGAACATCTAACGAAAAAGTTTGACTTGACTTCCCCTTTAACGCAAGCAGTGGTAGCAACACATGGATAAAACACAGCAGTACTCATAGCTATATGGTCTTTAGTCTTTAGATAAAAATGTCACCGTGGTCACTTTCATCACTAGGCTATGAACATTCACCCAATCACAAATGCCATCAGCAGGCCGTGTTGTTTGAACTAACATGGAAATAGGTGCGTTGTCACGTCAATGCACGAAACTTTTGCTAAACGAGGATACGAGCTATACTGTAGTCAGACCGAATGTGACTTCAGCGACAGTATTCTTACGAGACAGTTACTGTACATAGTCAATACATTTTACGAAGACAGGGGCGAATTCGTGCCGAGGCCAAACATCATTGAGACTGTGCTTATTGTCTCACACACACGGCACATACATGTAGCGTCCTGTGCAGATAAGGTGGAAAATAAAAATGTAGGACAAAACACAGCCAGCTTCCAAAGCAAGCCAAAAAGGAGCAGGATTTGAGAATGGGGAGCAAGGAAGTTGGCATTGCTGTTAAATGTATTCACAGCTGTAGAACCAAAATAGCAATAGTATGTAGCACAATACAATGTTTTAGAAAACCCCCATCCACCTGATTGACGAGAAATGTTTTTGTATTTTTTTTTCTGTTTGGGGGAGGCGAGTAACATGGAGGAACGTGACATTTCTTCATTCTGAACACAGCATAAACACAAGGGTCCCTAAAGTGAAACTGTTAATGTTAAGAAGTACTGCTCAGAGATGAGCAGAAAGATATGTGGTGTGTTTGTCTTTTGTGGTTGGGTCATTGCGTCAGTAAAGGAGGATACCATTCATCATCATTATTGCTGTTGTTTTGCTCTTTATTAGACTGGCAAAAAGAAAAAGAAAAAAAACACCACCTACTAGTAATCGTGTGACAGCTGCCATAAAAAAATGATAAAAGAAATGTGTAGCAATTTGCCCAATAGAGCAATTAATCTTTTCAATGACAATGTGACACCAGAGAGGTTTTCCTAGATCCGTTTGTTGTGCCAAAATCAACCAATGAACGACAAAAGCAATGAACAAAAGAAAAACGATACCTGAATGGGAATTTCCCCATGTTCTTATGGAAACCAATTAATAATCTGAGGTTCCACATGATACACAGATAATAACTTGTTTAAATAGTTATAAGATTCTATATTGTGATCAGATTGATGATCGGTTATTGTTCTTTCTTCTTTTTTAACTCCTTGATTGGTGATGGGCCCCAAAATCCTGATTGTATGAAGCCAACTAACAGGTGAATTAAGACAGGTAAGGACCTAGTGAAGGCCAACATCCCAAATGCAGAGCCCACCACTGTGGTATGAAAAGAAGTAAAAAGTCATATTGAATGACACGCCCTCTTTAAGGTAACATGAAAACATTTCAGAGAAAGTAAAGCTATTTCGGATCACACAAAAATGAATGGATGGAGTGGTCACCTTGATCTCCTGAGAGTCAGAGGCAGAGTCTGATTTGGCTCCTCCAGAGCTTGGCTTTTCTTTCTTCCTCTTCTGCTTCTTCTTCTTTCTCTTGGCCCCCAAATCCCCGCCAGGACTCCTGCGGACATGAGGACAAAGTCACGTTTTAAGGCGACATGGACTAACTCGAGATAGTCACACACACAGTGAGTGAGGCAGGTAGGGAGGCAGCGGGCTAACGTTAGCTGCCATAGCAACGAATGACAGCTGCGCTAGCTCGCTAACGGTTTGCCTGACATCCTTCCACTAAAGTCAAGACACCGGCTTGGGGAATGTATACTAAAGTAGTTCAAATGAACGGCGTCGTGACCGTTTTAAAGCACCACTTTTAGCGAGGTTGCTAGTTTAAAAGGACAGTCCCACAGAGAATATTGTGGTTGTGTTTGTATCGGCTAACTGGCATTAGCCAGCGAGAACACACACAAACATACACACGCGCGTAAACTGTGTGATGTACAACAGGCCGTCCGCACCCTTGCGCGTTCTCGTTCTCCTCCTCGTTGTCCCCGTCTATCCCGCAAGTATCCTGGTCGTCCAGCTCCAAGCTCTGCTGACTGGCGGCGGATTCGCTGTCCTCCGCCATCATTAAGACGTTAGAAAAAGGGAAGGGGAGGGGGTCAAGGGGGAGAATACTGCCCAAGTACCGTCTGATAGAGATCGCGGCGAGTGGCTACTCATCGGAAAAACAAAAGAAATTCGATCAGTCGGGAAATAGCACCACCTTGAGGCCAAATGGTGGCAATACAAAACAAAACACAAAAAAAAAAACGTCGATATGTTACGTCGGTTGCTACGTGACATGCAGGACAAAAGACACAATAATAGATACCCCAACTCATTCTAATTGATTATTTCACATTGGTGTGGATTCTAAAGTTTATTTTTTTACACTGGTCAAAATCACATACATTCGGTGAAAAAACAGCTTATTTTAAGAGGTACAGTATATCAGTTTATTGGTATGTGTGCAAATACTTGGCTCCTCATAAAACCTCAGAGCTTCATTATGCCCATAATATAAAACTGTATCATCTGCGTTAAAAAGTACATCGAAGTCTGTTTTATGGAGGAATGTTATTTATGTAAACCGTAAACAGCATAGGACCCAGTAATGAGCCTTGTGGAACACCCTTGATTATTCGGAGGATAGCAGATTAAGAGTTACCAATGTTTTGGCATTGTTGTCATCAGGATAAATAATTCTGAAACCAGTGAAGTGAACAGGGGTCCAATCTTATGCCAGTCAGCCTTTATAGCAGGATAGCACAAGTCAAACACTTTAGTGAGATCAATGAATAGTGTAGTTCAGTATTTTCCTTGATCCACAGCACATCCTGTGATTGATTTTACCTAATTAAATATCTCGTAGAGACAGTACTCCATGTGAATATTTTCTTTTTGTCTGCGCATCATGGATATTTGGATTGAAACGTTACAGTCAGGTAAATCCCCAATAAACATGAACTGTGCACCAAATCAAATCAACATATCCTATGGGTCTGAGATAAACAACATGAATACTAAAATACAATTTTTGCACACATAAGAACAATTACGAGTCCCTCCTAAACTTTGCACGTTTTATTTCCACACTGAAGGTTCCTTGCTACCTCACTGAATCTTGCAGATGAGGGAAGAGGCAATGCAAAAATGGAAGAAATAAAAGAAAACATTTCAGCTCACGTTGACACTTTAAATAATGATTCATAGTCTTCTTGAGTCTTTAGACATCACCTTTCAAATTTGTTGTCCTAATATGTTAATTGAGACTTTCATTAAATCATCAGCAAATGGCTCTATGACAAAAACCCAGACACAAATTGTTCCAGTCTGGTTGTTTATTCAGAATAACGTCAGATATATATTGCAAACGAGCAATGTACACACGAATTGTACTGCAACTTTGCTCAAACGCTGAAGGTTGCCCAGAAAACAAACTTGCAATATTTCAATGTGCAAGAAGAAATAAACAAAGAAAAAGATTTAATATGACTGTTATGACTATATGAATCCCGAGTGGATTTGATTATTTCCCAGCACTCTCATATGAATACAGTAGGTCATAAAAAAACATGCCTCACTCAGAAAAATACATTTTAAAACAAATGCTCACTCCAAATGCGCAAAAGTAACCTGTTCCCTTGGCCTACACTCGCTTTTCTTCATCCATTCCCTGCTGTGCTGCAAACCATCTCAGTGCCTCTTGATGGGCTTGCAGAATATTGTGAGCTCTGCGCAGTGTAGAAGAGACATTTACTGCATACTTTTGGTCACAAGCGGGAACGAGAATGACGGCTGAGGTAGAGAAGAAAAGGCAGAACAAAGGCAAAAGAAGGTGAGAAATAAATGTAGTGATCCTTTCAGGAAATGTGCATCTTAAGGAAAAGGCACTTGGAAAATTGGGAACTAAAGGCGAAAAATACTGCAAACGGAAACGGTTTGGTTTCAGTTAAAATAAAGACACATAACGAAAAACAAAGAATAAGGCAGGCGAAGAAGAAAAGCCCTTAACATATTTGAAGAGGAAGTAGCCTCATAGGGTTAAAATACTTCACGTTGGCAATCAAAATAATGGTGTTAAAACAAACAAACAAAAAAAGGCATCTCAAGCAGGCATATAAAGTGATGCATAGCCTTTAGAGCAACATATGCCAGTCAGTGATTCAACTCGTACAAAAACCCTTCATAGTATAAACAGTATCATTGCTGGAGGCCTAACTTGTAGTGGTATTACATCCTTACACTCCAACTGGGTGGTGTGTCACATTGTCTGATTACACAACAGTAATAGTTGTGTTTTTTGTGTAGTCAAGGCATAACGTCCTTGTGACCTGATAAACTGGTCTTTTAAAAAACGTCTCTCAAGGGATATATTGTGTTGGAGTGACGAGTTGTTGTGCACCCAAAAGCACTGGGGGAAAAAAATACTGAGGAGTGGGAATGGAGTGCTTTTATGGTCAGTGGTCCGAGGCCAATATGGCTTAAGGAAAAAGGTTCCTGTAGTCCTTTGTTTGAGAGAATGACCCATCTATTGGCTGTACTACAGCTCGAAGAGAAAAAAAAAAAACATACTTGTTTTGCATCGAAAAAAAAAAAAAAGAACCTCCAGAGTGCTTCAGGCAATGTCTACTTCCTGCCTGTTAGTGGTGCGTTTACACAGATGAGGGCAGGGGTGTTATGGAGGATGACAGTGGTCATTGTCATATAAACGTTTATAAAAGTTCAGAGTTGTCCCTTTGTTTGCTCGATCCCAGTGCTGGAGTACACCATGCCCAAAAAGTTCAGGATACTGGACTTCTGGGTGAAATTTCAAGATGATCCTCATATGCATTACAGCCTTTAAACTTGTAGAGAGTTTCGGATTAAGTGCACAGACAATGGTTGGATAATGGTTATAATGCAGTTCAGATACATCCTGAAATCTCACCTCAAAGCCCAAGATCGCAAACTTTTTTTGAGTAGTGGATATATGTCAGTGCTATGGAAAGATTCAACGGGGGTGTTCTTCTCATGTAGTCGCCAGAGAATTTACTTCATATTGAAGGCCAGCAGGGGTCGCTCTTCCCTCCTCTGCCAGGGACTCTTCTTCTCCTCTCCATCCTCAGGTGGTGCGTCATCCTCTGGGGAGGCAGAGAGCAGCGTGCAGTCGTTCCTGAGAGTCACGCCGTAGTCGGGCTGCGTCATGGCAGGAGAAGCGGGTGAGGGGGAAGAAACTGATGGTGGTTCCGTGTGAATTTGTACGCTCTCCGCTTCTCCCTTGACAGACTGGATGGACCCCAAATTGCTGTCCCGGGAGGTGTACTTGAAGGGCTCCTTGCTGCCCGTCCCCTCCAGATCATCCACGTACACCAGCTGAGTGAAGGCTGTGGTTGGTGTTGTGCTCTTGGACAACTCCTTCTCCATTTCTTGCTCCTCCTGCTCCACGTCCCGTACCCTGTGACCCGCTCTGGGCTCATTCAGGTCCACGCCGGAGTCTAAGCTTGCGTCGTTGCCGCTGCCATGCCTCCGCCCGCTGCCTTGTGGGCCTCCTGCGCTTGTGGCGTTACTGTGGCAACCAGCCCGCTGGAGGTCAATGTAGGAGTGGCGGATGTGAGCGTTAGAGCGGCCGTCCAGTGAGACGAACCAGGCTCTTGGGTGTGGCAGAGGCTTGCCTCCTCTGAGCTCCATTAACGTCTTTTCCGCCAATAGGGTGTCTTCGCTATTTATCTCCACCAGACCCGTTTCTCCGAGCGCTCCTGGAATGGACACCAGCTTCTCTTCTTCATCCTGCTTGGCAGGGCGTGGCACGCAGTCTTTGGGGGTTTGTCCTGAGGACTGTGAGGCATTGAGCTCAGCCTGGATGGTCTCCAGGTCACTCTGCTCGTCCGTCTGCAGCAGGAGGGCCTGACCTGACAGGGGGTGCTCACCAGGCAGGCGCATGTAGTGAGCGGGGATGACCAGTGTGGGCCGGACTCTCGGGTAGGTTTCGCCACCACTTAGCAGGTCCACGGAGGCGCAGCACAGCAGCTGGCCCGGCCGGGCGAGCGAGGGGGGCCGCTCCAGGTGGTCAACGGAGCGGGAGAGAGGGTAGTCAGGGGCTCTGCACTCACCTCCCTCCCCTCTGGAGGGGGAGTGAGGGGGCGAAGAAGGGGAGATGACAACACCGCTCAGTTGATGTTCTGACAATTGGTCGTGCCTGGCTGGTGATAGTCCGTCGGATATGTGGTTGCCGGACGAGCAGACGGAGACATACGACTGGCGGTAGCCTCGGTCGGTTCCGCACGACATGGCTGACTTGAACTGCATAGTCTCGGCCGACTGACGGTAGTCTCTACTGCGAGGTGTCAGATTGCCGAGGGACGAGCCGTGATGGCTGTTGCCCAGCGAAGAGCGGCTGTGCTTGCTCTGCTGGATCAGGTTGTGCGTGTGGGGATCGTCACCGCGCTCGTAGGAGGACGGCTTCAGCATCGGCGTGGTCATGTCGGCCTCTGTCGCTGTGGAAACAAGCTCCAACTGCACCTGAGGAGAAAAATAGTCAACATGCAAATTGGAGTTGAATGAGACTACATTTAAAATCCCAAACTGAATTCACTGCTAAAGATAGAGTGAAGACAACCTAGCAGAGAAGTCCAAATACCAACCTCGTTGCTGATGAGGTTGAGGTGGGACATGGAGGTCGCTTGATCCCTCTTGCTGCCGTCCAAACCGGAGGACAGTGTGAGCTTACGGTGAGAGCTCCGAGGTTTCAAACAACGGCGTCTGCTCAACACAGACACAGAAAACAGGAACTGGTTCATGATACATGATTATTATTTGCTCAATCGATTTATTAATGTTAGTGACGTTGACTGTGTTTTAAGAAACAATGCAGCCAAGCAGTCACAAATATATACCATGTTTTCAAAGTGACTAATCTATGTACAAGATGGTCAAATAAACAAAGAAAAAAAACAATATGAGACTCGCAGTTGTGAGGCAGAACTTCCCAGGCCTTATATTCGAGGTCCATATATTGTACTCATCATAAGGGTTCTTTTCAGCCTTGCTTTGTCTGGTCCTTCACCGAGGACCTGTTTGCCATTGGTGACCCTCCCAGGGGTATAAAGCCTCAGACAACTTAGCTCCTCGGATCGTTGGGATACACAAGCCCCTCCCACCATGGGAAGGTGACGGCTCACGGTAGGGCACCCGGTAATAAAACAGGGCAAAGTGTCTATCAC